ACTGCCCGTCAGGAGCACGCGTAGTCCTCTACAGGACGTTGTTTGCATGTGCAAGACCGGACATGAGGTCAACAGCGGGGCTACTCGTGGCAGTATGCATTTCAGCCTGGGTGCATCCCTTGACGGCTGCTGAATATTGCATGTGAGACTTGACGAAAAACTATGTGTCATGCGAGCGCTACTTGCATGGGGTATGAGTCGGGCGTACTGAGTACGAAACAGGCTTTCAGATCCTTCCCAAGCGCTTGTCCATCGCTCAAGGCTCAAAACGCGTGCAATTCCACAGAGAGGACGACCCTATCCCCCTGCAGGCCTCCACAGCGGGCACCGAACCGCACAACAGGATTGCATCAACATCTGACAGCCGTTTGGTGAGCACAATTGGGAATGATTTGTGGAGTTGAGACTTTCTGGACGAGCGTTATTCACAGACCACAAAAACCGAACTACAGGGGAAGTTGCGCTGGGTACATTGCGTCGCCTTTCGCTGGGAGATTTAGGCATGAATCTGGGGATCGGAGCTGTTAATCTTACCCGTCGTATCGATTGACGACGTGAAACAAGTGGGTCACATTGCGGACGACTGGGCGAGGCCAGCCCTCACAAGAGATGTGACGTGAAGACCGAGAGGCCATACGACGCTTTGGTCATTTGTTGCGTGGATGGCTCGGATGCGAGCAATACGACCACCATATGCCACCAAGCCAGGAAATCGCGGGTTTGGGTTTTCGCAGCTTGTCGGTAGTAGGTTCCCTGACTGAGCATGGCAGGGCACGTTCTATCTCAATGGAGACATCCTTACTTGTGTAAAGGTTTGTTCGCTTGGATATAGCCAGCGGTACACAACCTGAGCCCTGTTCGTCTACGGGGATATCCACACGAATGTGGGGTGTATTTTCCAGAGCCTTGGAGCCTGCGCTAGTTTGCGAAAGTATCTTACGCACTGTCCAAAAATACTGGTGATTTCATCGGCCGGCGTCGAGGGCGTCGTACTACCTATATTTCCAACACGTCACGCGAGATAGTCTTTCCACTGTTCTCAACTGGGCTGGCCGTCTTACAACGTCTCCTGCTGCTGCTCTTAGTTGGCAGTTTCGTCCATCCTCTTCATCGACCCGTATTTTTTGTACGAGATCAAGCTTTTCGACATCTCGAACAACTCCGACGGGACAGTGGAGGATGTTGCGACGACAATGTTCACCTTGCTCGACAAATCGAGCGAAGTGCATCCCGCGGCTGTTTCCTTCAGCAGGGACAACACATTGCTCGATGTGTGAGTACAGAGTTAAAAAACCCAAACTGGCTAGGAGGTTGCCAATGATGACGAAGGCAAGGGTGTATCGGAACAATTTCACATAGACTGTGATGAGCCTTGACCGTGATCATTGAATGGCAACCACGATCCATTCAAAGCTAACTAAGGGTGTGTGACAGTCCCGTTCTACGGTGTGTATATTTCTCCACACATGAACGAAAATATGATGCACGGATACACACCAACATCGCGACGGCAGACGGAACGGGATGGGAAAGGTACTTGGACCTGTGTGGCAACAGTTGCGTACCCGTGATCGCACGGCCGGGGGAGTTCACCATTCGGGTGGTGGTGGCGGAGTACGTGACAGCAGGAAGGACCTCCTATGGAAGCGCGCATCCCTTGCCGTTTCTTCTTGCCATGCCTTGGACGACTTCGCTGAAAATGACACAGCTCTCCGAGAAAAATACGTAGTTTGGCGACGGGGGCCCTCTGCTCAGAGCTTGTACACACTAACGTTGACCGCATATGCTCACTTCGTTGTTATCGGTTGCTACACTTGTTCATTCTCTGTTGATCACACCCAACATGTTGTGATGACGGCACCACTATTTACATGAACGGGACGGCGTGTCGACGGGTTCACCCTTCCGTAGATACTTGCCGGAGACAACCGTGAGTTAGGGAACTAGAGTGTTTTCCTTTGACTGATAGCGACATCGTTCTCGGAGGCCATGTACGCCCGATGGCGGGTACAGTTAGCGCCTGCACTATAGCGCCTGGGAGTCAAGAAACTTGGGGGGAAAAGAAGATGAAATATGAACTTGTCCAATAGCAAAGGTGACTAGTCGAGAATCCTCCAAGAACCTACGTAGTTGCTGTTCCGTTCCCTCTCAGAGAAAAGACAACCGAGCCTTGGCCAAAAAAGTAGGTTCCTAAGTGCAGGCGCTATATTCTTGGTAATGGTCGGAGAGCGAGCCCACCGTCGGTGTAGTCGGTTGATTGGCAAGCACACACGCGGCGATCTTCGCATGTTTCTGAAGCCACCTCTATTTTTGATGTGCTGCCTTGTGTCGCGAGAGCTATCTCTTCGGACAAGAGCAACGATGGAAATTTCCCCGTTTCTGATTGCTGTTTTGCGAATGCCCGATTGGACCCGCAACCCATTCGGCATGTGTGGTTCTTTGTTCTCCACGTTTGGGGTGACGTTTTGGCTACGTCGCTGGCTTCTAGACCATTGAGACATACGACGTGGACGGCATAGACATGTGAGTGGCGCAGCTTAGATGTGATCGAGGTAGATGTGCGGACAGATTCTGTCACGTGAGTCGGTTGGGGATCGCAGATCCAGCGGAATTAATGAGATCCATGGCCACCTATTGTTTGTATGCCTCGGTTTGTTCACAGTAATACGTGACCCTAACTCGAACGCGGCCTCGGATATCCCACAAAACTTTCATATGCAGCTCGTGTCCGAAAGGATATGCTAGTTGAAAATGGTCCGTATATCAACGGAGAAATCGCTCTGACCAACGATCGATAACACTTCTCACAAATATCATAAGTTGCACCACCTCACTTGAGCCAGCACAATACTACAAGACAAGGTTCTGAGCAAGACTCTGCAACAGTTGTTTTTGGACGATAACAACAACAACAACAACAACAACAACAAGTAGTTTTCCAACCCCCATACCCAGTTGAGGAAGTGGTACAATGGTATTCGAAGAGTAAGGGTTATGGCTATGTAGTTGCACACAAATATAGCCAACAAAAAATGCCGCCACCTCGTGTCGTCTGCCGCGACATGACTTTTGTCCACGGCTGCGGGCACGGATCTAGTGCCGTCGATAGCTGTTTCCCGCAGGCACCCACTCTGCCGCTAACCCCGACGGTCTTGCCTTTGGAGAGCAGAGGTCGATGTTTTTTGCCCCCGCCGCCAGCCTCGCTTGCCCCTCCTGCCCTACGGAGCAAAGCTCTTAGTGGAAGGGGGGGGGGCACAACCGCCCAATCTCCTACACTACTCGGAGCTTTGTATAGCCGCCCATGGGCACTTCAAGGACTGCCCACGGAGTGCCGTTTAACTGCCAACCAAGTGCCCCCCGCGGGCACTTCAAACCTAGAACTTCGCCACCGGCATATCAACCTAGAACTTAGCCACCGGCGCATTAACCTAGAACATGGCCACCGGCACATCAACCTAGAACTTAGCCACCCAGCGCCAACCTAGCACGCATCGTGTGGGATGGGGGTAAGGGATAGGGTCAGCGTAAGGGTTTATTGCCGTTGTTATGCCCCTTCCACAGAAGATGATCATTCTTTCACGAGTGCACTGGTTCCAGTCGAAGGGGACTCATTGACCGTCCGTGGACTGCCCACGAAGTGCCCACCGTGGGCTGCCCGTGGACTGACAAACAAAAACGCCGAAAGTGTGGGAGATCCCAGCCGGTCCCGCCCCTGAGGCGTCCCTTACACCCAAGTAAGAAACTCACGAAAGGACAAAAACCACTTTTTTCGTAAGGAGCAAGAGGCGGCGCTCTTGCCCGATCCTGACGGTTACGTGTAAGATGACTGCCAAGGCACGGTTAGGACCCTGCACAACAACGTTTGGGTCTGCTGGGGTGACGAGTGCTTCGAAAGGGCACCGTGGCAGGAAATACCCTTTCCCGACTTATATCAAGGATGGGGCGGGGTTAGCCATTTGGCTGAGGGAGGGTGTTTGCAAGATGTTGGCCTGGCCATTCGGGGTTCGCCCTTGGGGTTAGTAGATCTCACGCATGAATGTTGCCTGTCGTGTGTTGTACGAACGATGTCTCCGTTTGTTCGTCCTGATCGGCTTCTCACCCGAAGCATACAGCGGGCCAGTAAGCACCAGGCGGAAGAAGATTGATTGCTTAGGTGGTTGTTCTTCCCCGGGGTAGTCGCTTACAGAGAACACGCGAAACATCTGAAGTTTAGGAACATGGTCACCAGCCCGGCAGGCCTGTATGATCATTGCGAGTCAGAACACAACAAGAACCGTGTTCATGGTAGGATTACATTGCTGCGTATTTGCACATCAGTAGCAAAAAGAAACAAGGAGCCGGAGACAAAGCCGATCTCAACGGGAACGTCTGGTGCCGAACATGTTGGGCTATGTTTTTGCGGGTTCTGCCGGAGCTACGTGCTACGTTGTACAGCTGCACCGGTAGATTGGCAGATTACACGATTCATGGCTCTAGTAGTGCGGCGATTGAAACTCACAATGTGCAAGGGGTAGAGGTACAGCACAGGTTTGATTTTGCGACGCTGCCGCCTATTATGGGTGCCGCTAACCTCGCACCCCCTCCACAGCGTACTCGAGCTTGAATCATGTACGTCAGGGGGGACGCAGTGCTTCGGCGAGCGCCCCTTTTGGCTGGGTAAACAACAACATGCTCCCAAACACAAAAGCCACGCTTAGCAGACCAAAGGAAGAACGTTGCAAGGTAGGCATGGGGGAGTCAGGAAGAGCCCCAAACGAGAGTCATGAGGGTTGGGAGATATTGTGTCCAAAGCCTTCAACTTGTGCATGCCGATGCACGATTGCATAGTCGCTCCTTGCCCTTTAGTGTACTGTGAAATCTTCACGATCTAAAATGATGTGTCGCCTCGTTCCAATGTGTCGCCTCGTTCCAATGTGTCGCCTCGTTCCAATGGTGCCGGCACTAAGAGTACGATCATTCGCGATTCCCAGTTGCATGCCTGGGTTTGTCACCAACCAACAATGAACATCGTTCACCTCGCCGTACCTGGGATTGCTTCGTCAGGGGCTCGACATCTGTCGCCACTGGAGGTACAACGAACAATCCTTGCCTGTACATTGGGACCACAAGCAACGACCTCTTGGTGGGTTGAACCTCACCATTTCCAAAGAAGATTTATGTTGTCCGCGTGCTTGTGCTACGCACCGCTGGCGATGTTGCAGGCTTCAGGACGTCACCATTTGAACCAATACATGTACATACAACTTTCAAGCTGTGTCGATGTCATGTTCCGGTAGGTTACGCGCCTTACCAGGATCGTCGTTGAGTCTCGCGTCATAGACTCCGAAACTCAGAGCATGATGGTATTGGTCCTGAGAATCGTGTATGTCCCAACCTTTGCCTGCCATATGTCTAACTCCTTGCAGCTCGTCTTCCCAAATCATCGCAGATTGTCGTAGACCCGGCAACACTCTACAGGTATGAGAGGACCACCGAGGGTGCTCTGCTGGCTTTCGACAAGATGACCATCGAACAAGGGGCGGCTTCGGCTTCGTCTGCCACGGCCGACGTGACCGGAGATTGGGTGGTGAGCCTCGCGGTATTTTCGTTGTCAGCAGATGAGGGTATGGCACTCCACCTGATAGCTGCTTGCTTGACTCCTATGCCACGCGAAAATATCGTGCGAAATGCCTTGCATTTGTTTCGTACGGGACTCTAATGGCCCACACGAAATCTCAATGGCGTGATACGGGCGGTGCGCACCAAGCTAGCTTGCGTATGTTCCTCCACCCTCTAGAAGACTACTGGAGATGCTCACCCGCCATGTGAAAGCGTGTGCCATATTTCACACAGATTGCCAATCCCCTTACCTTGCCTCGCGCAGAGGTACGTCGAATCATGCAATAACTTGCAATGTTTGACATCGACGCTAAAACACTGCCAAAGGATTGGTCTCTCGGGCCGTCTCTTGCCAGTCTTCCCTTTCGGGCATTCAGTCACCCAATCAAGAACTCTTGTACCTGGGCCAATTATGAATACTGCCTGCAAATTCGGGCCGGTACAGAGCAGCTTGGTCGTAACGAAAACATCTCGGCTCGTCCCAGCCGAGTCCTGACAAAACCACAGGTGTTTCCGCAGGTAGCCTGGACCTTACTAGCCGTGCATCAATGTCTGTGTTCTCAGAGGGATTGGGAAGTTGGCGCAAGCATGAAAGCACCCCTCGTTCATGTGGAATAACGCTCATTCAAGGTCTGTCTCTCGATCTCTATATTTTCCCCTCTTCGCCGATTCCATGTTTCGTTGTCATGTGTGCCGGTCGCGCGCTGCCTCAAGCTGGTCGTCGTATACCAAACGCTGTACTCATACTATGTGGGAAACGAAACGATCGAGATGTCTCAGACTGTCGTAGGAGACGATACAATCGAGGACTCCATGTTCATCGAGGTCATGCCGGATTCGGAATCGGTGAGGGTGTGACACGAGCACCGTTTTGCAAGCTGGGAACGGTAAGGATAGTTGCCACAAGTTCTGGTGTCCCGGAGAACGTCTGGCCACCATGTCGCGTGTGGGAGATGTTCAACAAACCCTCGGTCGTGAAACATGCTCAAGGAATTGCTATCCGAATGTACTCAGACGACGTCAGCGTAACTGTTGTACAACAAACAAACGACCGAGTCAGACACACCAGATTCTCCCAGAGGGGGGCAGGTTTGTTCCCTACAGTAGGCTCCCTCGTTGTCGCACAACTTCAAGCCTTCGACGCTCTGTGGTTGGATCACCTCAGCACTTCGACTGCCTGCAAAGTTCTACTCGTGCTTGAATATTTTTCACGTCCATATCTGGTCGTAGTTGATCCAGTAGATGTCCGTGAATAGTACGCAGTACAGTATTCTACTCACACTCACGGTATTCATCAATTGAGAAGGCTGCTGTAACAGCACCATGTTGCCCGTCCAAAACAACGATGCATTCCCCTCCCTGCACGTCACTTTGCTCGGGGTAGAAGGGGTTGTTCGTATATCTGAAGAATCGTCAAACACCATTTATCTCCAAACGAATGTCCCCACGTATTCAATTTCTTGGCTCACTCGTCTCCGCGTTGATGTGCTAATCAATCGTACACCTCGTTCCCCCTTTCCTGGGGTGTGAATCAGTAGCAGCAGCAATGTAATACGGGGCTTGGACAGACCTCGAAGTTGCAAAACTGACGTCGTTCTCGATTTGAAACGGCAACTTTACAAACAATGGAACATTGCCTAGCATTTATAAAAGACAAAATCTAAGGCATTGTGCCTTCTTGTGTTTGTCGGGGAACAACCCACGGTATAAGGTTGCAACAGAGTGTGGCACACGATTCTGCCCATATTTTGCTGCTTGGTTTATTGCCGATGTACGTGGTATTGCAACAACGATGTTTCTCGCCACTGGGAGTTCGCGGTTGCGGTGTTGCATGCCCCATTTGTACTGATGAATCCCCATCCTGGCGCGGGTAATGTTAGCCTGTATTAGTCGGGGGCATATACTTCAAATCGCCACGGAATGGGCGGTGAACATTGTTCACTGAACGATTCTCATCAACACGTCTTCTCATATGTCCAAGGTGGTACCCGTGTTGCATCGTGAAGTGCATGCCGCATGGGATATCCAGTTTCTAGGAACACCGTACACCGGGCGGTAGGCGAAGCCATCGCTGGACGAAAACAATGACCGCATTCCTCCCAGGCAGTATCACACTCTTCCTCACCCCTCCGGAACACGTGTTCAGGTGTACCTGGCAAGGAGCGCAAACGAAGGCTTGGCTTATATCAATGCCGCAGCCAACCCTTCCACCGGTCTGTTCTCTCTCGGGAGCACCTTCACTATACAAACAGGGTGGGATGTCGAGTTTATCGCGGCCCATCCTGACGGGACGGTGAGCGTTCTGCTATTACTAGGGCGCTGACACATGTCGTTCCAAAGCCAGTAGATACATGCAGTTGAGAAATTCCGACGGAACCACTCGAACCCTCGTTGTCGCTCAGGTGGCCCGTTGCCTGAAACCAAGAGCATCTTCTTCACGTAGAATGCACCTCAGTGTTGGGCGAGTGCAATTCGTCATTCTTGGAGTGGAGATCTTCAGCATGTAGAACCCATCCGTGTTGCGTTCACTCTTTGGTCCAAACTTCAAAGAAACCCAACGCTTTCGTCAACAAACGGGTCGCAACCCTACCTTTTCCATACCACTCCCTGCCCCTTACCTCCCGATTCTCACGACTTCATCCAGCGCTTGTACGACTTCATCCAGCGCTTGTACGCCGGCCGGACCAGCAATGGAAAGGTGAGCACGATGGCGGTTCTTCGTCGTATTCGAACGGTGCGACTTGACGAGGTTGTTTATCGTTCCCGCTAAACGTTTGTTGTCTGTTGCGCCTTGTCGAATCGACGGGGCATCCGCACATCACGCTTTCATCCGTAACCCGTCGAACGCTGCAGTTCTCTTCGTGCTCCCTATACCTCCCTCACGTTCGTCGCTGCTGTGGATGGGTATGCATCCCCCGCACAAAACACCGGACGGACGTGAACAACCATTCCCTGACCACCTTTGCCACCACCGCCACCGGACTCAAGATTCGAGACTACATTCCAGATGCCCTCGATGGATCCCTGTGAGCGAAAATGATTCCATTGAACGGTACTGTCGCCCCTACTGTACTAGTTAGTGTGACAATGGCGCCGTTCGTGCAACGTTCCACCCTCCGTCCGTCTTGGGGCCCCTTGTCATGAATGGGGTGGATTGCCAGCTCGCTGAAATGCGCGTATGAATGTGCATCTCTAGGTTTTATTGTTTTCTAAAACCCGACGTAAAAGAGAGATACTAAACTGGCAGAGAGCACGTTTCCCGCAGACACCTTTATGCGACCTTTCTATCGTGCTTGTGCCTCTCTCCCAATAAATGCTGCCTCTCTTCCCTCCAAACAGCAACCGAGGGTGCTCTTCCCTGCGGTGGAGGGAATCAATCTTACTTCCACAGTAGTCTCAGAAGACCAAGTCCCCAAAATGATACCCTACAATTTTCCTCGTCGCCCTTTTAGCTACAAGTGTACCGGACACATACTTGAGTCCTCCCCTCTCCCCCCACCTTCGAAACAAAAGGGGTAGGTGGGTGGGGAACGGGCTCAACTTGTTGTCAGCTCCTGAGGCTGACACATCACTACTGTAGAAACCTTTTACGTGTCCACCTCGCTCGTTGTCTCTGCGCTACTCTCTTTCTCTCTCTCTCTCTGGCGCGCAAGGGCTCTGCGAACACAACAAGGTGGTCATGCTCGACTCCTCTCGTCCAAGGGGGGCCCGTAGTACGCCATATGTTCCGGGTACCCCAGTACAAACAGTACAGCGTTTCGAACTGTTTCAATAAACCTCGGTTTGTTTTGTCTACTCAATTGTCTACGCCTTAAACGAATCTGCCCCTTCACGCCCGTCGCCGTACACAGGGCCGAGCCGTGCGACAGAATAAACGCTGCCGATGACATTTTCAACAGGTGTGCCAAATATATCCGAACAGCGCAGCGTCGTTACCGTAGGGTATCCCCCGAGCTTATCCCTCATGCTGGCGTATGCGGAAGAAATATCATGTTTTTTCTGCGGGTCTGTAATATATACCTTCTCTTCGTACTTAGTCGAGGTTTTCATTTTACTTCGTTCGGAACTGGTTTCGGGTTAGCTTTCTTTCGTGAACATGGAGGTTCGTGGGTTTGCTCGGAAGAGTAGGGAAGTAGAGGTACCGGGAAGAGGTTAGAACAAAGGCAAGCGCGGAAGACAACAAGCACAACCTTAGTCGCCTCTCTTTGTCACCCACGCCTCCCGGATTGTCTGTTACTCAGGGCGCTGGTGTCTCCGGACGGGATGTATCTCTATGTGAGTTCTAGGCGGAGTGGAATGGCGCCCCTTTTTTTCAAATTGAGGAGAATGACGTATCTCGCTGCACAGTTCACGAAGCCGGGTCCAAAGCATGGTCTCACGAAGTCCTGATTCACGGTTTGGCCATGACACAGGAGAGTAGCGAACATTGTTTCCGCTTCCTTGCCCCCGCTTCTCCCCCCGTCGATCGCAAGGTTGCCGCAGTGGACACGCAAATACTAAAGAGTAGTCTACACATGTAGGTTACGAGTCGATTTCCCGTTCTGTCATCAAAGCCAAACGATGTTTTAGGCCCTTGGACCAACTCAATCAAGCGTAGCGCGGATTCCAGACGTGAAACAGTTGTAGGTACTACACATTGGAGTGCTCACAGACACACCTGACAACTATGCACATACATGTAGTCCGATGCGACAGGTATTTTCGGCGAAATGGTGAAGCCGTGGTAGATGGGGCTTGGAGCATAAGATTCATGTCGTTTCAGCTTGACAACACCATCCAGTCCGATCACGTTCGGTGTACCCATCACTCGCCCACGTACACGCACTCATCGGCTCACTCGTGTGTGCTTTCTCCTGCAGGTGGTCGGAAACGCAAGCCTGGTGGCATACCGGACCCACACAGAGACACCAAGTACCCTGAGTCCAACACAGGCGCCTACCCCTGCCCCAACGGCAACTCCAGATCCTACACCTAGCCCAACGGTATCCCGGCTTGGAAATTCCAATGAGATATCTCCGCCAGAGTTGATCTCCGCAGAGCTTTCAGAAACTGAAAGCTTGTTCGCATTAAGCTTCAACCGGACCTGCTATTGCACAGCTGGCGCTGGAGTTGCGGAGCTTTCGGAGCTGTCGTTTCCGCCGGCCTTGTGCGGACACGACTTCGTAACCGGGGTCTATGATCAACGGTTCGTGGTCTAGAGCACGTTGAAAATGGACCTTAACGTGGTTGCCGTAAACGTTGGCCGCGTGCAGATGCGCGGTATGGTACGATCACGTCACTCAATTTTGCACGACGTTTCGAAGTCGACTTCGCATTCCATCAACACCAGGAACGCTAGCGCAGTACACATAGAAACATGTATATCTCGGTCAGAACAATGAGGAATGTCCTTGGTCTCTCCTGGCGGATGAAGGTTCTCGCTTGGGACGGGTCTCTCTCGCGGATGTCGAAACATTCATGCGAAAGTTCTTTCTTGAGCACGGTTCACGCTGTGTCTATTGTTGTCGAACAGGTGCGACATAACGAGTCTTCTCGACAAAAGCACGCGGGAATTTTTCGGCGAGAACACCACAACTTGCCTGTGGTCCAATGGCAGCATAGAAGCAGTTGTCAGCTTCAATGAATCGTCTGTTGTCATGTGGGACCCGGCACCGAATATCACGCTGGCCGGCGGGTGAGGCTACCCTACGCCTTGGAATATGTAGCGTTGGGAATTTACAGTAAACATGACGAGTGCAGAACCCTGCGCTTCACGAACATTTGATTGATTTGTTGGCACCGCCGTCTTCGTCGAGGTCACAACGTACGTTCTGGAATACATGCGAAATGATCGGCGCTAGATTGATCTCTGTTGTGGGAACATATAGTCTACTGTCGGCAAAAAATCGAGATTGGCTCTTCTTGTCCTTTCTGTGCGTGACGTAGTCCCTGTTGGTGTCTGCGTGGAGCGAAGCGGAAGAACCCGTGTGGCCGAACCGTCTTTAATGCAAGCTCACATCAAGGGTGCTTGAGCTGGGCAGCTGCGGAAATAGATTATTAGCAAGAGGGTGATATTCCTCTTCTTCGAACCTTTTACATCCCCTGCGCCAGGTACTTTTATGGACAAACGAATCTGTCCTTGTATGAAGAACCAGCTGTATTCGCCAGCGGAGCGGTTACACTTGGGTTGCGACAGGCGGCACCGGAGCTCTCAGAGGTATGTTGCGTTATGTCTCTCCTTCCGCCGTGCCCAGACGAAACATTTGCTGCACCATGTAGTCCGGGAGTACTGCAAGATTCAACGTTAGAGGTTTCATGCGATCACGCAGCTCACGATCGGGCAAATGGTCCCTCCGCATTGCAATCCATTTTGGACGGCGTGTTAGGTGCCTCAGAACCCCATTGGTTTGGGTTGGTCTAATCTCACCGACATAACTTCTCTTGTTAACCATGGCGATATACGCTTGGGTGCGATTCTTCACTGTGTTGATACAACGAACCGCAGGCAACGTTTACTAGCGACGGCTCTTCAATCGTGGTATCGTTCTCTGCTGCGGGCTCAGCATCGAGCGGCCTGGTGGACCCGAATGACACAGACTCGGGCAGCGCCGGGGCTTGCAATGCTCTTTTCCGCAGTACTACTCTAGTTGCGATCGGCGATGGCGCAATCTGTGAGTTTTCGACGACAACCAAATCGCACCCACGTTCTACGTGGTGCTGGCGTTGCATTCACGGCCAACAATAATCTCCAACGAGGTCCGAGCGGATTGTGTTCTGATTGACTGAAAGTGAAGTACGACGAAACCACGTTTATGACACGGTCTCCGCCAGGCGTGTTCTAACCACCTCCGTGGCCTGCCTTAAGAACTGCATCGAAAAACAACCAGGTGAATGGACAGGCCAAAGAGAACTCACGGTATTCCTTGGGTCGGATGCATCGGTAGTGGCAGAAAGTAGTGCCGCCACTACCACAATGGTTTCGACGTCCTCTTGCACGACGGACGAGTCTTGCATTGTCCTCAAGGATGGAGGGGTTCGTGCGGAGGCGTTTGCCGTACTCTCGTCAGAGGGATCAGTCCCTGTTTTCTCCCCTGACAATCCGACCACGGTGTCGGCCGTCCTGGTTGCACCTGAGGTAAGCCTTGTGCATGTGGTCGCCATTGTGTCGACAGGGAAGTTTCGCAAAACCAACACCATAAGAGGCGATGAAAACTCTCGAGCCGTCTACGAAGTGTGTGCTGATGTTTCTCCAAGCAAAATATCACCCGTAGAGGCTACAGATTGGCGCAAGAGAGGTACTTTGCACGTGCCGTCATCAGGAGAGTGATTCTTCCTTCTCTGATCAAAGACCTCCAATGTGCTTCCTTGTGTGTGAACTCCCAACAATTTTGTAGTCGGTGGGGCTCTGCGGCGAGTTTTCGCTCGATGGACGTCTGTCTTCCGGAGCTGCGTCAAGGTCGCTTTCTGCCGTGTGGAACGTTTCGACGACAACTGCAAGCAACAGCGCTGCCGTGGTGGCTGTGGCAGGGGCTCTTGAGCCGTTTCAGGGATCCCTGCATGCAACGCTAAACTCAACCTCGCTCGAGCCCCTTGTGGAATTCGAAATCTCGCTCATAGTGGAGAACTTCCTGGGTTCTTTTGACACGGCTGCAGTCACCGTCACCAGAGTGTAAGACCGTTGTTTGGTGTTTCGTGCATACCCCAGGGAAACATTTGAACAAAAGCCCAAATCCTTGGTTGCGTTATCGAGTGCAATCCCATATAAACATGAAATTCCACGAATTTACTCTCTCTGTGGAGAACTGTCATACGGAACGGACCTACAAGCGTCCATATCATGTCAATACCGATGATTCATCATGAGGGTTACAACTTGCTTGCCATTGCCTGCCTTGAACAAAGTACTTCAACTATTCAATAGCGTGCGCGCTGTTTCACAATCTCGGAAAAAAACGTTCGCTCTATCAACATTTGTCACTCCCGTATCACCAACTCCGGAACTCAGCAACGAAGACGTCCCGTCAGTGGTAGTGGTGGGTCCAGCGACAAAGACAGCGATAAGGAGTCGAGTAACCTCTCTGAGGATGGCTGCGACACCACCTGCCTGCGGTAAGAATCAAACCATCCCCTGTGCAGACCTTATCCCCGCAAATTGCAATATGCCCACCGGTACTTCTGAGTTCGCTGTTCTTTCTTGTGAGCTCACGGCTGCTGCGTGAAAGGCACCAAAGTCAGCACGTGCCCTTTCATACAGACATGACCCTGTTGTTTCCAAGATGGTTACATTTACATATTTTCCCGGCGTCTTGAATGCCACCTCTCCGTTGGCCTCGTATGTGCCCAACAATCCTCCGGCAGGTGATGCTTCGAGTTTGTCATTCTCCTGGACAGAGTCAGGCACGGACGGCTATGATGCCCTGGGCACAAGTGTAATGGAGGTACCGTGTGTACGAGGCCACATGTCTCAGACTTGGGCAGTATGCACCATGCCTGACCATGCCATCTGTGGTATTTTCGATATGGCAACGGCCGCCCCTTCTAGCTCTTCTCACTCACCGCAGAGTTAGACTAGGATTGACTTTGTGGCCCATTCTACAGTACCTTTCGCAACAACTTCTATGCTCTCACGACTTGAACCTGCGTTAAAAATCGACCAACTTGCTCTACATTGTGCCGCTTCCCTTTGAACAAGGATTTGGTGGGAAACGACCCCACGGCCCTCACAATACCAGCGTACACCCTCGGCTACCCCGGGCCCATGTACCGATTCCACGCAACGGTATCATCGGGAACGTTAACATCGGGGGCGGTCGTGGAGGTGAGTGGTCTTGTCCCGCGAGCGACAACCACCGCAATATATATGATGAGTATTGCAGAACTTTCGATTTCCGGGTACTGCAAACCAATCTGTAGGTCTGTAGGAGGCTGTTAGAGGTTGCTCACCGCGTGGTCACGGCGAAACGCTGAAACCACCCCGACATCATAGCATGTAACAACACCGTCAACGTAATAGCGAATGACAGCACCTGCTGATAAATATATGATCGATTGGAAAATGCCTGCCACGTTGCCCGCCACGATATACGTTTGCCTGAAAATGTCTTCTTTATTATTGTGTTCTTTCGAATTGCTTCATCATTCTTTCTCCGGTTTCTAGGAGACACGTGGGGGAGTGAGCCACACGAAACGGCCGTCGTCTCGCCAGCCACATTAACTACGAGGCGGGGCGTTGACTCTTTCAAACCTGTCTCACTCCCCGCAAATAATACCAGCCGGGTGACCACGACTGCAAACGTACGAGTCCCGAAACTGACCAAGCCCCAAATGGCACACACCATTCTACAGCACCCACATCTAGGTCATTTTCTGGACAACTACGGCAGAAGTCGACTAATTTTGATCTCCCGGCTGACTCGTTGCTGCTGCCGCCCGTAAGTTCCAACACATACGTCGCGAACACTCTACGATATTTTGATTGCACGGCTTGTACGCATCCGCCTCATTGTTCCTCTTCCTGATTTATATGTACTGCAATGTATCCGCCTGAACCTGAAGCCTTCGCTCCTCCAGTCTGCCAAAGGAATCCCACTTGAACCCTCGGTTCGAATCGTACCCCTAGCCGCACGGGGGCAGCGCTAAATTTCAGAACTCTTACTGCTCTACCTAGATAAACGGTCCGGGGCCAGGTAAACGTCGCATGACACGACAACGAGCCCACCACAAGAGCAACTGCACCGTTGTTTGCTCTCGCGCCTGACTGCGGTCCGTTGACTTCGTCTCTGCTTATAGATAGTAGCTCAACCTTGTCTGGCTCGGTCTTCTGGCGGTCCCGATGTCCGTGTCCTCTCTCGGCTACCCGAGGTACCTACGCAGACGGGCACCCCGTTCGCCGGTTCCATGAGTGAAGAAATCGGCAGCCTTGGGGCGTCGTACCGTCCGCTCCTGCCGAGCGCGTTCCGCCCTCGGCCCCATTTCCCGTTGCCGTATCCGGTGTATTTCTGTCTCCGGTGAAGACCCCCGCCTTCGCCTCCGCCCCCACCGATACCCGTGCTCGCACTTCCTTCTTCCGCCGTGGACCCGCGGGATCGCTTTTTGACGGCGATAGAAGCTGGTGCCCGCTCCATGATAGGCGGTGGTACACTGCCGTACCGACCCCCGCCCCTGCCAACGAAGCGAGACGTCTTCATCCGCTCGATGGTGAACTCCGGCGGGAAGTCCGCCGTGACGCGGAAGTGGGTGGGTTTTTGAAGCTGATAACGGCGTCGAACCACTTCGACGCGAAAGCTGTGCAGTTGTCGGTGATGAATGTCGCGGACCTGGATGTGCTCAAGTCGATCCGTACCTCGCCGAGGTGCTGACGACAGTACTTGCGAACCCTCACCAGCCCAGATCATCAATCGTCGCTCACACTTGTTGTCAATCGCCTACGGCCTCGTCGCGCGGCCGCTGCTGCTCGTCCTTCTGTCTATACTTCAGTCCGCGGAGAGAGGCTACCTCGGCCTCGTCGAGAGGGGCGCCACGGGTGTCTGTCGATCGCGCTCGCGTGACGATCTGCATCTAGCCATTGTAAAGAGGCTAGCGGATTGAGTCGCGTGCCGTCGGACTCGCCGCTGATCGTCCTGAAGCTCTCCTTGTACGTGGTGAGTCCACCCGGCCCTGCCACCCTTGCCTAGCCGCAGCCCTGCCGCTCCGCCAACGCGTGGAGATTCGTGCCGACATCCAATCACAGTCGGTTTTGTCAACAGCGAACCGGTGACGGGGAGGCGTACGAACGTCAGGACGGCGTAACGGGAACATCTTAAGCGTAGTCGGGGATAGGGCACACCTGTATCTGCAAGTAGAATTCCTGCACGCCTCTATCTCTGTGGCAGAATGGCCAGCATGGCAATGAGTCAGACATAACGTCGCTAGCGCTTTTTATGCTGTTATTTTGTCGTTGTCTACGCCTGCGTGAATGGAAAAGGCGCAGCGTTACTGCGCCGCAGGCACTTGTTGGTCCGTCGGGGCTGCGAGTGATTTCGTGGCACTGCTCGGGTGTTTTCGGGTAGCAAGGCACTGATATATTTCCAGATGTTGGCTTTGCATCAGCCCCTTGCGAACAGGGGACTATGAGCCACAAGACGAACAATTTGTTCTGTGTTTGAAAACATGTACTACACCCCGCTGCTCGAGATGCATCTCTTGTTTGAAAAGACACTGTAATTTGTTCTTTTCCGATGCGCATGCGCCGATCGTGCCTATAGTTTTTGGAGAGGAGTGGGAGGTCGGAAAGGTGACGCCTTTCCGGAGAGGCTGGCTTCCCCTTCATACAGTTTTCTTCTGGTGAGGGGTGTGGAATTTTCCCGGAGCTCGTGGACAGCCTTTTCGCCACGAGGAGCGACTACTGCGCGTGCCTCGAGCCGCTCGGATATACAATTTATTGCGAGACAACGGTTGATGTCTTCTGTGGTTTGAATCTTCTGTCTCGTCCTGGCAAATGCGGAAATCACGCATTCGCGCCTTGGGGCGAACAATGGGGACCGCAATGTAACCCGCGTAGAAACGGCATATTTTTATCCAGCCTATGTTTCGTTCGCACTGTCTATACTCTCGCTGCCGCGGGCGGTCTCCCCCGTTCATCCTGTGTCTCCCACATCGTTCACACTATGATTGATTCGCTTTTGGACGCGTGGGCATTGTTTTATAGGTACATTCGACTCTTCTTTTCTAAGAGCCACCACGCCGCGCACAATCTCTCTTCTCTCTCTCTTTCTTGCATTTTTATCGATCGATATCATGGGTAACTGGGCACTATTACACCTATCTCCCACCAGGCCTTCACCAGGCCCTCTCTATGTGATATCTCTCATCCTCACTGCCAGTCGGACGAAAGCTTAAGTGTGTCTTCGACTGCACACACTGCTGATCATGTTCTGCTCTCGTTGTCACCACCTACGTATATACATGGAAAGCGTTGATCCTCTCTTTGGAATATTTCGATTTAAGAGGATCGACAAGAAGACAAGTCGCTTCTCGTTCGGTGGCGGCGCAAAGCGCCAATGACCCCAAAATCTACCATGATCATGAAGGGACGGCGCACTGAAGGGCAAGGATAATCTGTGTGTTTGTCGTTGATAGCACTCAACCTTCAGGAGTATCAGACAAACGAGGCATTGTTGCGCCCGTCCTCGTTCCGGCCTGCGTCAGGTATGAGGCGGCAGATTTGCTCATCATGGCGGCGCGCGGCAAGCGCCCGAAACGTTTGGAAGTATTCGCAGAAACTGCAGATACTTGGTAGTCTCGATGCAATACGCGGCCTTCTCCTGATCCTTCAATCAAATGTATTTCTTTCAAGACAATGCAACCGGTGATATCGCGAATAGTACGCCTTCCCGCATACTGAGGACCCTGAGTAGTGCGTCTTGCCGCACTAGTCAGGCCCGAAATCATAAAGTGCGGGCGCCCGCTACAGTGCGGGTGAAATCGCTCGGCCCATGGCCGCACTATATAAGGGCCCCACTGTACATGTACGCATGGCTGCCGAAGGTCAGTGGCAGGTCATGACGCCCGAGTCATGTAACGGCAGCAGCCGCCGGTGGCGCTGCGTCGCGGACCGCGCCGCCGAACCTCCGAAGTGAGCAGGCAGAACAACGTCCTCTACTGCTTCCAGCAGCACACAGCCTTCTGACTGCAGGAGGCGGCCATGGCGGAGCGCGAGTTCCACAGTGCACTCGGCCAGGAGCTTCTTCGCCTCGGCCTGGCGATAGGCAACGGACTTGTCGCCCGCCCGCGAAGTGGCCACCTTCCTGGCGCGCGCCAAAACTGCCGTGTAGGTCTCCGCCCCGGCAAGGGGCGGCAGCCGAGTGACCACCTCACCCAAACGGAGGACCAACTCCTCCACAGTGCCCTGATCGCAACCGAGCCGGTTGCGGTCGAACACCCGCCCAAGGTCCAGCGTTGCCCCTGCTCCCGGCACGAGCGCCGTGTAGCACGGCAGAGCGTAGGCCGCCGTGGTCGCGTCCACAAACGCGGCCGTCTGGCGGTCGGGCCGGGGAGGCAGCCCAGGTGGAGGCGGGGAAAGCGGTCCCATCGGCGCGCTGGCAGCCGCTGGGGCCGCGGCAGCCGCCGCCGGGGCAGCAGCCGCTGAGGAAGCAGGCGCCGCCGCTGAGGAAGCCGTTGTAGGAGAAGCAGCCGCCGAAGCCGCCGCCGTGGAGCGCCGCGTGTTGCGAGGCGGCATGTTACGACTCTCAAATATATCCCTTCTCCTCGATAGCTCCGGCGTATTTCGGGAGAGAAAAGGGGGACTAAACTAGGTGGGGTCATTTTCCAACATCCTTTCTGGAATATCTGACTCTTCCCGATTTCGTTCCGAAATCTAGATGCGTCTCAAATCCGAGATTTACACCGATAAACGTCATTATTATCTGTCTGTTCGCCGACAAAACTTACCTATTTTCTCGCTGCGTCTCACATCTGTCACACAATAAGAAAACATCATTGTGTAACTGCTTAGCACATTCCTGAGATTCAATGAGAACATGTCGAAAGGTGAGATATTTTCTGATGTCCTTTTCGAAAAGATCGCTAAGATTGTTTCTGAGCCGCTAATACCCTCAACTTGGCTACCACCAACAACTCAATCTTGCAACAGAATATCATACCTCGGCCAACGTTGTTCACAGATTATCGTGGGACAAGGAGCTGTGAGGGCTGCTATCAGTGGCGGTCAATACCGGCAACACACCGTAGGTAAGTGAAAAGGTCGCACAGACCGTGCGAACGCGCCAATCGTGACACCATGTTATTCTGTAGTTGTGCTGAGGAATGCCTGGCACACTGGCCCTTCTCTCCGACGCCTCCGACCCGTCTTTGATGTTTCCGAACGGCTATGTTCGTGTGTAGGTGCCGACCTCGTTCTGGACGGCAGCGAATCACTTGACGAGGACGATATTCCGGAAGAGGAGTTTCCTCTCAGGTGTGTGACGTGCACACAAGAAAACCCGTGTTGGTTTGCTTGTCGGCGGGTGGTTGCACGCCGTGGCACCCGCCGACATTGCACTGTAGTTGGTACGCAGGGAAACTGCTACAGCAGGACGTACTACGACGTGTTGATATTGATATACCACCGACTGGCTGGAGTCTATGCCAGAAAAAGAGACTTAAACGGGAGCGGGACTTGATGAGGATGGAGCTCGCATACACCAACTTCCGGCCAGCGGACATCCAACACCTGGACGAGTAACAGGCCGACACCAGTTTGTCGCTTAGAGATGCTCCAACCTTGTGCTGAACTCTACTCGCTACGAGCCCCGCATGCACTGTAGCAAGCACGTTTCCACCGAACGCGGCGCTCAGAGGCAACGAAGCATTCGAACAAACGGTTGGCACTTCTCTCTGCTCATAGGAGGGGATGAGAGCATCACTCTGCGGTACACTTTGCCTCTTTGGTTACCGATTGAATTCAGAATGCATTTATATATATATGCGTAAGACTCCACTTCCTGTCAGCTCCAGAGGCTGGCACACCGCTAGAAGCCTTCTATGTGACCACCTCGCTAGTTGTCTCAGCGATACTCTCTCTCTGGCACGCTAAGACTCTGTGGACACAAGGCTTGAACAGAATGGTAACCTATGCGACTCCTCCTCTCGACCGAGGGGGCCCCGCAGTACGCAATGCGTTCCGGGTACCCCAATATAAACAGTATGGCAATTCGAGTTGTTTCAATAAACCTCGGTTTGTTTTGTCTACGCCTTTGTCTACGCCTTAAACAAACCTGCCCTTGATGCAGTCTCTCGTCGAGCTCCACATTGTGCCGAGAAGCTCGAACTTGGCGAACGTGGAGGTCGTATTCGAAACGCTGACACGGCCATCTCGGTGCCCAGTTACGTTACCCCGAGAGTATCGCTGGCATTTCTGTCAACCACGTTGCCCAGGTACTCCTGGTCCTGTTCCGAAAATTGCTCTGGAGTGGCGGATGGGTATTCTGGCTCGGACGAGGCAATCTTCACGATTCCCAGCGGGAGCTTGGAGGCAGGCTTGGTAGGTCAGACAGATCGTTGTGTGCCACACTCCGAGTAAAGAGGTCGCTCGAAAGCTGATATCCCCCAACGGATCTCAAGCCTAATGCCCCACCACCTGGATGTTCGCTCCCCGTCGCTGCATTGTGACAGGTGTACGAGTTCTCCCTGAACATTAGCAAGGGAACGGCAGAATCTGATGCTGTCTATGGCGTCTTTCGTTCAGACGTCGCGACCGTCCAAGTTCAAGTAAGTCGTGGCGATACATCTAGGGAGGGCCCCGTGTACCTATCGCAAGCGATTTGGCCCGGATTTCCAATGAAAGCGTCGCGCGTTCTCCGGGTGTGTGTGGTCTTGTGCGTTGTCAAGTCAAGAGCACGAGGACCAACTTTAGTACGTAATGCACTCCACTTCGTTTAAGCGGGATTCCACTTTTCACGGGAGTCTATTCACCGAGAAGGCAATGGCTTCGGCAGTGTACGTGCTCCCATCTCCTATTCTATTGTCTGGTGGCGTCTCAAGGTCGTTTCCTTCGAGGCTCCTGAGGTGGTCGTGGCTGCTAAAAGTGATGAAGGAAAGGTGGACCCCACGCAGAAGGTCGTCATATACGGCGGCGTGGTTGAGCAATCCACTGCAGTGGAATATTTTTGGACACAGGTGGGATGGAAGACGTTGCCGAAATCAGGGTGGTGCTTGAGCTAGCACTGGTGAACCAACTATGATCGTGTTCTTCGAAGTGTACTCTCATAGGCATCTTTTTTTGCTGGCGATCTACAAACATCACCAGTAAGTTGTCCTTGGATATATTTCTCGCTCATGCACAACTGCTGTAGTGCACTGCTTCTGGGTGCACAATCCACTTCATGGTTCTTGCCAAAGGGGTCAAAGCAGCACCTGCGAGACGAGTACGTTAGACCCCACAGTGATTCCGATGTCAAAACGTCCATCACGTAAGGCGTGCTGTCTCAAAGTTGTTGGAGCACTGTGGTTGTATTGGTTGGCGGGGGTGTCGTGCAAACCCTGTCCAGGTGAACGGTGACTTGGACCTCGCGACGGCGGATTGGGGTGATTTCTTCACCGGCACCAAGACTGGGTGAGATGCCATTACTCGCGAGAAAGCGTTCATCGAAGTGTGTGTGTTCTTCGTTTTTGGGGGATGCTTAGTGTACATCATTCTCACGCTGGGTAGCGTTAAAAATCAACCGTATTTGTTCGGTTTCCTGGTCGAACACAGTACTACGGCGTGACACCATCGGCCGTGTGTACCCAACTTTCGTAGGCCTGAAAATATGGATAGGATTTACAGCATGCATTTGTCGGTCCGGGATGAGGTTTAAGGCTCTTTTGAAAATGACCACCTTACAAACCCCACTATTTCATTCGCAGGGCCAATCTTGTGGTTAGACCGCACGTACTGACGGGTGGATCGTCTTACACGTTCCGGCTTTCAGCGGTGGACCCCGCTTCCGGAGAAACAGGTACGCAATCAAAGGTGGTGTTTGTCGGCCGTACTCCGCGTACTTATCGGGTATTGTTTGTGTAGTGTATTAACTTCAGACGGTGAGGCAACGCCCGTACCCAGGGCGCTGTCGTGCTCAGAAAGGAGGAGTGGCAGCAGGGCTGCTGCACACAACAAAAGGGGGCCCCGGTGCATCATCACCGTACCCCTACCTAAAAGGTTCTACACCATCTGCGTCACACTTGTACGTACGGCTAACATATCCAAACCATGTCCGTAGACCCACGAACACCCTCCCTGGTTCTTCACTCAAGTGACTAACCATCAGTGGGGCAAAAACACCCCGGATACATCAATAAAATGCCAATACGGTGGTCGAGGGGAAACCCGGCGCCCGGGCAAAACCCCTCGAAAATAAACCCCATCCAACACAAACCATTGCTATCACGGCGGATCACAACGGCCGCACTTATCAGGAAGGCCAAGGTGAAGACAAGAATGCGAGGCAAGCCTCCTACTCCTGCCAATGGGACACAGCCCGCGACAGTAATGCATCTTTCCCCGCATGGTATACATGACCTTCCCCAAGCGCTAAAAAATCCTACAGAAGCTCCGGCAAATTCATCAGCTTTTTCCGGTGGTACTGCAGGTTGCTCTTGCTAAGAGCCTTGGTGAGCATGTCTGCATGTTGCTCCGACGTCGACACAAGCTTGATCGAGATGTCACCCGACCTAAACAATCCACGAATGAAGTGGTACCGCACGTCGATGTGCTTGCTACGCGCTGAGCTAAGGGGGTTCTGCACCAAGGCCATGGCCCCCTGATTGTCCTCAAGGACCTGAATGCTACCGCCACTGGTCTCTGGGGCAATAAACGAGAGCACTGCACGCACAAACAAAGCTTCTTTCACACCCGACCCGGCAGGAATGTACTCTGCCTCCGTAGACGACAAAGATACGATAGCTTGCGTCTTGCTACCGTGGCTGATGACGGTTCCTCCAACCGTTGTTGCCAGCCCTGACACCGAACGTCTATCCTCAGCGTCGGCGTAGCAAGCGTCCACGTACACCGCCAGCCCCAGCCCCGATCCCCGTTTATAGGTGATCCCGAGGTCCCTCGTCTCTTTGAGGTAGGCGAGGATATTCCGTATCGCCTTCCAGTCCCTCTCGGCAGGGGCATGGGCGTGGCGCGCTACCGCACGCACAGCGAACGAGATGTCCGGGCGCGAGAACGTCGACACCCACATCATGCTGCCGATGGCCTCCCTCACCGGCCACTCCCCTCCACTTTCGTCATCTCGCTTCGGCCCTATGGGGGATTCTGTACTCAGCTCGGTCGACGCCAGGGCCCTCACGAAGGCGTCTGGAGAGTTGAGCACGAGGTCCTCCGCTCCCAGCAGGAAGTCCTCGGCCTCTTGGCGCGCGATGTTGGCCTCCTCCGCGCGCTCGCACAGCAGCGCTTGCACCGCCCTCGCCGCTAGCCCTTCCACCACGTCGACCACACATGCGAGCATCCAGTGGGTGTACTCCTCCGTGCTGTTGATGGGCAGGGTGGGCAGCCCGGCCGCCGATGCATGGCGGGCGAGCAGACCTTCGGCACTCGTTGACGACTCGTACCTCGTGTTCCGGCGAGGGTTCTCCCTGAGTCGGCGGCTGGTGAGTTCGGCCGGCTCGCCAAAGCGGGCGAGCCTCCGTTCCTCGGGCCCGCGGAGCGCCGGAATATCCGTGTCGCTGCCGCTGTCGCTGCCGCCACCGCTGCTGCTGCTGCTGCTGCTGCTGCTGCTGCTGCCGCCGCCACCGCGGCTGCTGCTGCTGCTGCTGCTGCGGCGGTCGTCCTCGCCGCCGCCCACATCGGCCATCCCGGTCGACGTGGTAGATGGGGCGACGCTCGCGCCCTCCCTGCTCGAGGGGGCGCCATCGCCAGCGTCGCCCGCGCCCGACTCCTGGGGCGCGGCCGGCGGCGGCGCCGGCGCATCGCGCGCGGGCGGCTCCGCGGGCCCCGGGTTTGCCGTCGTGTCAAGGTGGAAACCTCCATCCTCAGGTTCTCCCTCCGCCCTCCCTCCACCGTGGCATGACGCACCCCCCCCGCCCTCGTGCTCCCCAGTCGTGAACTCCTCGTCCTCCTCTGCAATGGGAGGCAGCGGCTGGGGGTGCGCGGTCGGGGCGGCGGGCACAGATTGCCAGGTGAAGTTGCGAGTGGTGATCGCTTGGCGTTTTTCGTTCAGGATGCGCACGCAATCACGGTTTGTGTTGATTCCAGGGCCGAGGTAAAAACACTTTTTTGCTTTCGGCTCTGACTTGTGCGTGCGCTTGACCTTGTATACGGCGGGTTTGAGGAACGGGTACGTCGCCTCTGGGGGAGGTGGGTGCCCGTGCCACATTTCGTACGGCGATTTCTTGTCCGGGTTGGATGTGGCAGAGGTGCAGTTCAGGGCGTTGCATGCCCAAGCTGTGGCTTCGGCCCAAAGGGAGGGGTAGCTTGGTGCTTCGGGGTAAAGAATCGGCGCTTGTATGCGGGCGGCTAGTGCTGCATCCTTTATCAGTCCCAGTGCTCTCTCAGCTACACCGTTGTATTCTGGGCTGTATGCGGGGGTGAACTCCTGCTTGATGCAATACTTGCGGCACAGCTTTCCGAACTCTCCCTCGAAAAACTCTCCTCCGTTGTCAGACCGCACGACCATGACCTCGGATGGGGCTCCGTCTGCCCTGTTTTCCGCTAGATATCTCCCGAATGCCTCTGCAGCGTCTGACTTGTTTTTCAAGAAGTAGACGCAGTTCCACCTCGTGCAGTCATCCCTTACAATGAGAGTGTACCACTTCCCCCCCGAGCTCTGCACCCTTGCCTTCCCACTCAAATCCACGAAAACTCTCTGCAGTTTCTTAACTGCTCGGGTTGACGTCCTGTTGGGGATGGGCTTGGATAGCCCCTTTGCCGTCGAGCACCCCATGCACTCCCGGAGCTGGCCCACCAGCGTCACCCCGTGCTGCTTCGCCGTGTTCTTCAGCAGCACCTCGTGGGAGTGGCCGTGCGCGCAGTGGAAGTCGTTGATGTCAACGGGGGTGCGGTTCGCTTTCGCGTTACCAGGAGCAATTATGGCACAGGCTAGTTCCCTACCCGACTCTATGAGGTGACCAGTCTGAACGAACAGGTCCCCCCATAGAGGGAAGTACACCGACTCCCCCCACCAAGGAACACCTCCAACTCGTGCTCGTCTGCGGCTAAGCGGCCCTTGGTTTGTTTCAAGAGGGCTGTGAGGGACACGAGGTTGTAGTTGAGCTCCGGCACATGAGCGACCCGTTTCAACAACAGGTCTGTGGTCCCAACGCGAGAACCGATGGTCACCCTCACGTCGCCATACCCTACGATGGCGAAGGCTTGCTTCCCTGCGGCGACACTCAAACGTCGATCGCACTCATGGTAGTTGTCGAACGCGTTAGCGCTCGGGAACATGTGGTTGGTTGCGCCGGTATCGGCCACAAACCTTTCCTGCCTGGCCTGCTCTACACCCCCTCGATCAACGACTCTGTTCCACTCGCCTGTGAAGTCGCGGACCACTAGCGCCTCCTCTGCCACGTCCAGTGCTGTGGCGTCCAAGACCGGCAGCTCCACCGCGAGCACCGCCTGCTCGGACGAGCACGTGCTCTTGTCGTGTCCGTAGCCCAGGCACTTCTCGCATCGCAGGGGCTCGGGCTTGGTACAGGCGGCCGCCTGGTGACCCTTCTCTCCGCACCGGAAGCAGCGGCCGTGCATGCTACTTGCACCGCCGCCGCCGCCTCCGCCGCTGTCCACCACCGCCCCCACCGCCCTTGCTGCCACCCCCTTTCCCCTTCTGGCCGCCACCACCGCCGCCGCCACCCTTGTTGCGGCCGCCGCTGCTGCGGCCGGGCGCTCCACCCCTGCTGTTACCGTCGCTCGCGAGGAAAGCATGCTCCGCCTTGTGCTGGCCCTTCGGGGCCTTCCCCCCCTCCGGGAGGCTCGCGTGCACCGTGCTTACGATCCTGACGATCTCGCCCCTGTCCAGCTTTGTCGCCGTCTCCAACAGGAACTTCGCTTGTTGGTACTCGGGTGGAAGCGAGTCGACGAAGTGTGCGAGGACAAATGGTGTGTCAGCGTTGAGCCCCTTTTCGCGTAGGCGCATGTATATCTGCTCGAGCTTGCTTAGGTGCTCGATTGGATTGCTGCTGCTGTGTGCCGGGATCGAGAAGCGGAACATCTCTTTCATCAGGGCTTGTTTGGATCCCTGCGACTCGGGGTCGTAAACTTTTTCAAGCTCCGTGAGGACCCCCTTCGCCGTCACACAACTACTGACGACCGCTTTGTCGGTTTCTTTCACCACGGCGGTAGTGATGAAGTGGAACGCGGCGAGCCCACGTGCGACCTCGCTCCTAGTGTAGCTCAAGTCGTTGTAAAGTGTGGAGGTGGGCATGTTCGGGTCGCCCACGGGGGCATGTCTTTCAGTACTCCCGATGAATTGACCGTCTAGTTCCACGGTCTTAGCGGCCTGGATGAAAGCTTTTCGCCACGTGCTAAATCCGCTGCTGCGGCCCCCCTCAAGGCGAGGGGCCACCACGTTCACTTTCTTCGAGTGATTGAAGCTATCGATGTAATCACCGCTACCACGAGTTGCGGGTATCTCACCTGGGGGGTTTAACCCCCTCGCTTCCCCGCGGTCAGCTCCTACGCCAGGCCCCACTCTCGCTGGAACCCCAGGATTCGCTCCCGGTATGTTGTCCCAGCGGCTTTCCCGCGGGTGATTTGGCCCATCACGGGCCGCTTCCCGGGAAAATGCCCCGCCGCCCTCTGACGGCAAGGACTCTCTCTGGCTTGGGACGGCAGCACCGCCGCCCCTACTGGCATCGCCCGCCACGGCGTCGCCAGGCTCCTTCCTCTTAAGCTCCATTACTATGCTCATCAGCTGCGATAACTGGCCCTCCAGTCTCGCAATCGCCGGGTCCTCGGCGTGTTGCTGTTGCATGGCTGAGGTCTCTTCCCCCAGCCCTTCGACCGAACCGCTGTCCGACACAGCCATCCCCCGATGCGGCTATCCCTCGAGGGACAAAGAATCTAAACTCTAGAGTGTTTGTCGGCCGTACTCCGCGTACTTATCGGGTATTGTTTGTGTAGTGTATTAACTTCAGACGGTGAGGCAACGCCCGCACCCAGGGCGCTGTCGTGCTCAGAAAGGAGGAGTGGCAGCAGGGCTGCTGCACACAACAAAAGGGGGCCCCGGTGCATCATCACCGTACCCCTACCTAAAAGGTTCTACACCATCTGCGTCACACTTGTACGTACGGCTAACATATCCAAACCATGTCCGTAGACCCACGAACAGGTGGTGCACGGGGTGGCGTTACCCTAACACGTTGTGGAGCTCAGCTGTTCATCGTATTACTTGAAACGAGTTGCAACGCACAAAACACTCGTCGTCACTGATCGGCTTTCGAATCGCACCGACATTGTTGCGCGTGCGGTGATATACACCTTTCAGGCTTTGCGGAGATATATTTCGATGTGAACGCACCTCCGTCGGGTGGATATGTCGAAGCGACCCCAAGGGCGGGGGTTGCAGCCATCGACATGTTTTCTCTGGAGGCTTTGCTATGGGAGGATGATCTGGAAGATCTTCCGTTGAAAGTCTCCTTCTTCTACGTTGCGGGTCAGGTCAGCCGAGCAAACACCCAAATATATTATACTCGGGAATCAATCCAATCTTTTGAAGGGACGATCGAAGAGGGCGTGCTATTTATCGCTTCCTCTGCCGCAAAACGATATTGGTGTTGGTCGTGCGTCAGCGTATTCCCGGAAAATCTTGTTGTGTTTTCGGGCGGTGCGTACGAACTCCATTCGTACGCGTCCGTGGGTGTGTCATGTTCATCAAAAACACACCACAGCCAAGAACGTTACGGCAACGTCTAAGGCATTGCACCACATGGTTGCCAGAATCGGAGGGGCGAGCACATGCAGATGCAATACGTATAGATGTACTACAATGCAACAGCACCAATGTGGCCCTATCCAGGACGAAACGGGAACACAGCGTAGCTTGTCGCTGTATGAGGTGGAGTCTGTCGAGTGGAACGGGCCCTTGCCTGTAGGTTCGGCAGCTGACAACTACACGATGACCATCATAGGTAAGAACAAGTCGGGCACTGAACGAGGACCATTTCGATCTGTATCTCATCACCAAATGAGGGGGATGTCATGCGATTTGAATACCCCAGCACCTTACGCCCGAACGCAAACTGCAACACGCACCGTTTCGGTCTGTAGTTTGTCGCCATTGAGTAGGTGGGACACCTGAATGGAGGACCCAGCACTCGTACATGCTCGAGCAAAGATTGTACGCGCCAAGTTCACCATGACATTGATTTCCCAGCGTGGCTTGGAACCGCCCCCCGGTTTGACGAGTCCGAGTAGAAGCTACTGTCAGTCTGTCTGGTGTTTGTATGAGCGCTTGCTTTATCGCACGGACGTTTCACTGACTGTTTCGCAATTGTTTTGTGTTCCAAATCCGCACACTCTATAGGTCACATTTCTGATAGTTACGGTGCCACAGAAACATCATTCTATGATGGGTCGGGACAACCACTCTTCGTGCGCGTGACAGCATGGGCGGGCTCTTCGAGCGGTCTGGTGAGACGAGCTGTGGGGGGGATTCATGGATGGGCAAAGGGTGTTTGAGGAGATGGGGGACCATCGTCTCTGAATTTTCAGAATATTTCGATGATGCTGGACTTTGAAGTATGCAATTGTATGCGGTGTCTGTTCGCAAGATACAATCAAGTTCCGAGTGTCATGACTTGTGTTTCCTCACTCATATCCCTGGTCAGTCGCTGATGGATGAATACACAGCCGTGGCCAGCGTCACGGAAGACATTCCAGGGGAAACAACATCGATTGTCAGAGCGTTTGCCTCCCTGCTCATCGTCGAGATCAACAACAGTGCCGCGGCCACACCCACTGAGGAACAAGAATTCCAGGTGTGGGCTACTCGGGAAAGATACGACGTGCATTCATATCCGCTGAGCTCTCGAATGCATGACATGGTGAGAACAAAATTGATTCTACCTTGTTGCGGTGCGGATAATTGTCTCGGCGCAGTTGCCAGATTTGTAGGAAACGAGCGTTTCTCGCATGCGTGACGGATTCGACGTCATGGGCGGACGAGTGAGCGCCTCGGCTATAGTCATTGTCACAGTAACTATCAGGGTCGACACTGTGGAGGAAATGTGAAGACGAAAAGCAGAACACCCTGTGTGGCCATCCTCTTGCGTGACCCCAAGTGGTGCATCCAGAAGCACCGCAATTTGTGAAGGATGGTGTCCAGGTGGGACGACACAGACACAGTCTCAGGAGACCATGATGGTATCGCACCTACACAGGCAACAACAAATTCTCACTTTCTCACCGACCATTCCACGGCGGCCCTTTCCGGGCAAAACAGAACCAGACAACTCCTTGTGCATTGCTGTGAACTTGATATCCGGGCTCCAACGCGATATTATATCGTGCGGAGTGTCAACCTTTACCGTTGTAGTTGTGTCGACCCAATTAAAGGAGGAACGTCTCGGCTGTGCAAGGACATCTCTTCTTCGGCACCAACATTTCCATTATACGCAGCCGTCGATAACTGCGTTGCTCAAGCGACTGGGTAAACACCAATATCTTGGGGTGGACATGATAACGAGTCTTTGCCTCCCAATGGGTCCCGCTGCTGAAGTGCGAATACATACGTCCTTGGCGCAGGCGTTTACTTTCCAATTCCTCAGAATGTTATTGTACAACCACTCAGATCCACGTTGTTGCTGCCCCAAATTCCCATGGCAGACCTTTGTGGCTACCATGATTGATGCAACCGTGCGCGAGTCCACCGTGTTGGACTACTCGACGACAATGGCCGGTGCAATACTAGACACGATGGTGGTTTTGTCGAGCAGCGAAAAGGCGTTGAACACGGATTCGCAGGTGCGCGGTATTGGATGTCGCGGGTGGTATTGCGGGTTTCAAGGGGTAACATGGGCTGGGCAGGTATATGGTTGTATGGCGATTCGCATCGGGAATCCATGTAGTGATTGATGTGAAGGGATAGCTTCATGGAGAGGTCGGTTATCATAACACTGAGATCGCTGAAATTGGTGCGTATCCTCAGGCGGCCATATTGGCGTCTTCAGCCTCCATCCTGAACACAGCAGCCGGGGAAGGCTACTGGGACTCGGGCATGTACACCCCTACGGTCCAGGTGTTGGACCAAGTGATAGGAGCGTACGACACGTCTTCAGACACCATTGTCGGGAGCGGCCTAATGGGCCAAGATGCCGCGTCCAAGTAAGCGTCGACGTTTGACTTCGACCGTCCTGTGAAAACGCCTGTAGGATCGTTGGCCGATACCTACAAAATCGAGAATACGGTGCGAAATAATTTGGCTGCAGACTGGTCACGGGATCATGACGATGCTGCGTTGTTTGTGTCGTCCGGTGCAACTCAAAGTTTGACGGCCATCGTGCAGTCGATAGTACTCCTCATGGAGGCCGGAATGGAAGACGGCGAAGGTGTGATGACGATCGAAAGTGAATACGTGCAAGCGAGCTGTCTCGTCACTTCAAGCACGGGGAGCCTGAGTTTCGACACCGGTGAGAGCCTGCAGTTGGCAACCATTGAGTTCCCACATGGAAGACTTGTTCGTTGAACACGAAGGGTCGAACCGCTTGGCCGTCGCTCTTCAATACCGATTTGTGTCGCTCGAGAGGAGAAAAATATGCAATTTAGATGTACCGTTTCAGCACATGCTTTCTTCTTCGCTACACCGTCATGAAAGGAACATCATCGGTGTCATTCGAAGACGGCGTTCTTGCTTCTCCATCATCGCCATCAACGAGGAGGCGGATGACCCATGAAATTGACGGGGGCTTGAAGTGCAAATCAGGCCGATGTGCTCGATCGACAAGACATATGCCAAAATCATCCTCTCGTCGACTGAATAGTGTGTCCTCGACATCTACGTCAACGGTGGTGGTCACCAACCAGCTCTTCAATGCCAATGACCGGCCGTCGGCTCTCGTCAACGGGGGTGTCACACAGATCAAAGTTTCGAGTACCAGTGACGGAGAGGTATGTTGAGTCAGTACATGGTACCATCGTAAGGTGTACTTGTCTGTCCGTGGTAGGGTGTTCTTTCAATGTCGTAGGCAGTTGACGTATCCGAATCTCCGCACGTCTCAGAGACGTAACGCCCGTTTCGTCGCGGGAGTACACAATGCTCGAATCAAGCTGGTATCGTTGCGTCCCGAGGTAAACAACGCACCCTTGAAGCACCCTAACCTCATGTCTCTGGGGCAGGACCCTCAGTTGGTTCCTTCAACAAGCTGAACTGTATACGGTATAGCCTACAGCACAAGTATGCATAACCGGTGACAATATATTCGGTGGTTAGCTACAGTAGATCCCAGCCATTGTGAGTTGCCTAGGTTTGCCATGCTTACAATTCCAAAGGGGACAGTATGTATCAAGAGGGTTTCACCGCCAATCACTCCTCTGGCTCGCATTCTTGGCCTGCCTGTCGATAATGTCCACACTTCAGGACATCGCGTTGGCAGGCCCGGTACAGCTGACAATGAGGGCCTCAATGACATCGAGTGCTCAGCTCCCGTCGTGCTCATACTACAACGAGGACACCGGCCTCTGGGATTCAGAGGGCCTCGCTATTGGCGCAGTTGCGGTGCTGACCGACGCGGCAGACAGCGCAGTGGATGTCCTCGTGTCCTGTGTGACGTTTCACCTGTCGGACTTCGGTGTGGCAACCACAGAAGTCGAGCCCGTCTTCCAACCGGTGACACTGGTGAGCTTCGCCTTGACGGTTAGCATTGTGCTCACGCTGGTGATTTTGATTCAAGTTTTTCCGCGTTGCCTCATAGAAAATGTTGGAGGTTGGCGTATTTGTATCGAGTACAACGTGTCGGAGCTAGTATTGGCCTTGTAGCACGGTCCATTCGGCACACCACGCATTCCCACCTTTCCCAGGAGAACGTACAGGATACAAACACATGGACCGCTCATCAGTGGCCCACCACGCAAACCGATCATAGACTATGCCCACAGTGATGCATCCCTCTACCCCTCGGCATGGTTCTGGTCAGGGGGCAGGCCTCAGTGTCGTCAGGGGAAGGGAGATCACCGCATGGGGACTTGTGCTGACGGTAGGCGCCTTGATCCTTTTGGGCATCGTCTGGAGCGTCTCCAGGATAGCAGATCATCGTTCGAAAACGGCCGAAAGGCTTCAGACAAGGGCCTACGACCACTACATCGAAACAGGACATGTGAGTGTTAGCATACTACAGTAGGTAGGCCTTTCAGCAGTACCACAACATGCCCGAAGTTGTCGGCCAAGTCTGGCCACAGCTGGCTCTGAACGCGACAGATGTCGACCGGAGTAGATTGTCCTCTTCCCGGTCTTGCATAGCATTGGTCACACATCCAGAAAATACAACTCAGCGGGGCGGGCGAAAACGTCAAGCCTGCACACACTCCGCTGTGACTATGCAACCCATTGAGGTGTGACCTCGTCCGTCACGGCGTTTGGGTTCAACTTATGCATAAGTGCGTTTCGCTCGACTGCTGTGTCCGCACCAGCCCCAGCGGCTACCGACTTTGGAAGACATCATGGACTTGAAACAGACGCTAGAGAAAAAGCACAAGACAAGACGGAAAAAACGGGACGAGTCATTTGCAAGATACCTCAGACGGAAGTTATTCCAACGGTGAGACTACGTTGTTCAACGGTGTGTCATGCTAGCTATGTGTTGCGGATGGCGTTCACGCCGCCTTGAGCTACTTCACGATCGGTAGAACGTGGGGCACGTGGGTCTCGATGACCTTTCCGGGGATGACCTTGCGTAGTTTTCATGCGTAACGGTACGGGTGATGCTAATAGAGTCAATTGGTCGTCGAATTATGCGGCGTCAAGAAAGTGTACTTACTTGTGTTCACTGGTGTGATTGACCTACAGTATGAACGAGGCCCGGATTACTTCCGGTGACGCGAATGACACTGTTTGGTAATTTTGCTTGGGAAAGGTTGGCGGCGAGATGTCGGCAATAGACGATCGTCCGCGCCGCCGGTGCTTCGCTAGTTGGGGTGCATGGATTGCAAGACGACGCAAGGCATCCCAGCCAAATGATACACGACTCATCAGTATTGTCGTTCTCTTCAAATCTTCTCAGATTTCAGTCTTGGCTTCAATTGATGAGGGCACTGCTTCAGCATGTGCTTTTCTTCCACCCTTGGGCTGGGATAATTGCGCCGTCTGGAACTCATTTAACTCTCACCAGGGCGCAGGTGGGAACAGCGGACGCAGCTGCTTTCCGCTCTGAATGCACCATTGAGTACTTCTGTGTGCTCATGGGTCTAGCAGTACCGTAGCGATCAGGGCCATAGTTGCGGCTGCTAGGAGGGGGCAATCATGGCCCCAGATATTCTTACCCGCCTTTGCAGCACGTACAAGGAAGATGAACTTCGAGTACTATACGCGACTTGTTTTCTGCGAAGGGTGCCACACCGTGTGCGGTACCGCACCGTATGCGGTACCATAATGGCACAACTGTCCTGAACGAGACCGACATCGTGAATGATGCTTCAGCACCTCACGCTCCCTCACGCCGTACATGCAGACCGGACGCTTAGGTTGCATCGATTCCATTCTTTTTTTTTATTTGCTTTGGCAGCTATCGTTATTGATATTCACACAAGTGATGGTCATCATGATGCTCTCCGCTGCCGTGTCTGGAAACGCCACAAGCCCAAAGGTTGAATACGCTCAAATTTTGGCAAGGTGAGACAGGGAAAAGCTACTTGCCGCGCACCATCTATTGTCGAAACCGTCTTCAATTACGTGCCGTGCCAATGGATGCCGTGACCTCGGGTGATACTATGTACGTAGTCCCGCTTGGGCTCCACTGTGTGTGTTCTAAACCTGCAGACTACTGTAGGGCCCATATCCTGTACAATATCATTGACACTGCTCTGCGGATCCTGCGTCCATGTCTCAAATGTTTCTGGAAAGAGTCCTCTTGTGTAATCAGGGATACAAACGAATTCTAATTCGGCACGAAAATGGATAGGCTAGAGGCGCCTAACCTTATAATATGTAAATGTTGAATTTGCATACAGCCGATCAATGTCCTTCTCCCTGCCGTGAATATGATATTAACATATCGGGGTTTCGGGTTAGGATAGAAATGTCGAGAGATGCCCGGAAACCACCGGCCTCAGAGCTGGAGGCCTCTTCAAAATATCCAATACATGTACTTGGATAAAGGATCCTAGGCCAAGAGCAACAATACAGCAGGAACAGGCTGGTCGCATCATGTCGACGTTACAGCAGCCGATGCAGATCGTGAGAACAATACGTCTTGCTTGTTTCACTGCTTTCTACTCAACAATTGGTTCTCCCAGCTTAGCGGCGACGCTACCGGCCTCAATCGTCGTTCCACGGGCGTTTGCTGCCTCAGCAACACCACCTCCTTCGGTCACCGCGAAACGCAATTGGTTGCAGGTGGGATAGCGTCGGCTACAGCTTTGTGTTGGAAGCGTGCGTTATTATCGGTCGGCTGCTGATAGTTTTCGACACGGGAAGCAAAAGCAAATTGAAATGAATTAATCTCAAACCAAATCTCATCGGAAATACTATCATCGTGAGCCCGCTTGTCTCACAACCACCCGTGACCATTCCTACACATACATACAGGTGGTGGCGGACATGAAAGGTAAATCCCAAGCTTCGAAGCTAACTCCATCATGGGAGTACGGCAGCAAGTCGAGGTATGTGACGATGATTCTGTTAAACATCAATAATGTGTCACGCAGTAATGGACCATGACGGAATTTGCAACTGCAGGCTCGTGGTGGCGGCAGATTTCAACTTTCAGGAAATGTGGATCTTGTCTAGTCTATGCCAGACTCGTTACCCCAACAGTTGGCCCGTTCGACCAAAACCCCTCACTCTAGCCCAACATCCTTGTCTCTCTTTTAACCACACAACCCGTTGTAATTGTCTGATGTTCGCTGTCAGAGATATTTCCGACGTCGTCGGGTACATGTACGTGGGTTCATGTTGCCAGTGTAGCGGGCAACCCTAGAGTGAGACCGTCGGTAACCGTTAGCATTTGCTTCAAATGTGCAACGTTTCTGCCAGAGAGCGCCTGATGATCTCACATATATAACATGTCTGCGGTCGAGAAGCGTGTACGGGGAATACTACGAAAGCCGTGTAGAAATCAGCAAACATTTTTCGCCTTTCACACACATTTTCTCATGATCTTCAACGTTCCACATCACACCAAAACTTATGTTTTCACGGTGTTTTTTCTTTACGGTTTCGTTCATGTGACGCTTGCTCTTTGCCATGATGTAGATGGGTGCGCGAGCCAAATTACTTTCTGGCGGCAGTATACTTGGTGGTCGCTCGAGTAAGGCAAAGCATTCCAGGCGGCGGGGCTTTTCCTCCTCGGGACTCTGATATCGGGGACGTCTTTGCTCGGGGAACGTGAGTCGAAAGCAGCATTCGGACACTTCACCCGCGGCTTAGATCAATTCTGATTTTCCAACTGCCCTTGGGGAAGGTGTTCAGTTGCGTGCTCTTTGTTTGCCTCGCTTTTGCCTCTCGCGGCCGGTTGAACATTGACCTGAAAAATGTTGCGACTCCTCGACACAGGGGTCATTCGAACTCTCTCAGCTGATGTTCACGCTGCCGACATGCTGACCGAGATCCCCGCCTCAGACCGATTCTGCAAAAGGGCAATGATGCACTGCCTGATGATGTGAAAACACGTGTCTGCCCCGCACTCTCCTGCAGTGGGATACTGCTGGCAGCACTGGTCCAGCTTGTGCTCAACATAGTGTGTGGATGTCTTTGCTTTGCACTCGGTGCGGACGACGCCCTGGAAAAAGCATTGAGTGCCGCCGTGGTCGGTAGCCATGTTCAGAGCTTTCTGTTTTTAGGTGAGGATGCGGGGCTCATTGATGACGAATGAGACCTGTTGTTGGACTTTAGGAATGTTACTTTCAGAATCTAGATGTCAGGGTCGTTGCTTGTGTTGAAACAATCTCTCTCGAAGGCGGCGAATGAGGAGGGTTGGTTTTATCCAGTTCTCAATCGAATATCCTCCTTGAAATGTTTTCGCAGATGCATTCTTCTCGAACAAGACGACGATGTTCACATTGTTGAGCTATAAGGCAGTCTCCAATCTCGTCTTCGTAAGCTTGGGGCTCACTACGCTGCAGCTGGTACTGGCATTTTATTGCATGCAGATGGAAGAGACAGGCTTTGGGCTGTACCTGTCGGTGTTCATCATCTCCCTGATCAAGCTCATAGTGTGCCAGATGGTGAGTATCGATGTAACCGTTGGTACATCAATGAGGCACATGATTTCCAACCAGAACAAATGGGTAGGATGGGATCAACCTCTCGTGATTCGGTAGGAGGCCTCATGTTGGATGAGGTGGGTAGTTTCATACATCATGACTGGTGGCTGGAATGTCGCACTTCTTAACATCTACATTTCCTTCCGAAACAGAATAAAGTAAACCGCGGGTGACTCTGCACCCTTGTTCACACATGTACTCTCTTTTCTTCCGGCGACCTTACACACATCATGTATGTACCTGGATTTCTTGACTTCCTCTGAACGTGTCCCCATGACCGCTTTCCCGCGACCGCTTCCGTCCGGTTTTGAAGGGTGAGCTGGTGCCTTCCATGGGTGCCATCAACGAACATACCATGACGCAGGTGCCCGTAATATCGTCTTGACGCTCTGCGGACTTGTAAACACATGTCGCTGTCATTGTAGCATGCTCTATGGGGCAGTGTGAGTGCGACATATGTCGCCTCGCCAAGGCGCTGAACTTTATTTTCGCAACCACGTCCTTGTTTCGCCGACGACCGAGGTAGTCGAGAGTAACCCGGAACACAGACAAGGTGGATGCCTGCCAGACATGTTACCCGCGCAATGGCCACGTGCGAGCAGATCATTCCCGATACTAGGCACCCCGTAGTGTGCAGCCGTCGACGGAGGGTTGTCGGTCGAAACGCCAATATTGATGAATCTACCGGTGAACGTAGCAGAGGATGTATTCGTTGTCCCGAGGGCATAATCTTACAGCACTGTTGCTACTTTTGGCCGCGTACATCCCACTCGATGTGTGTTTTCCATCTGAAGCACCGTGAATTTGTCGGTTTTCACCATATGACTTCCACTCACGGCGTTGGATTACCAAGCTCATTGTGGCCATATCCTTCATTGTCGGAAGTCGATGTCCCCCCGAAGCCCCCTGTCTATCGTAGTTTCGTTTGGTTTTCGTCGAAGCCGGCCTGTGCCCGCACACACCAGGTTCTTCCCGGTTGGGTTGCGAGTACGTCATGATGTGAACTTGATGATAGCCATCCACTAACACACCCGCCACCACAATGACAACAGTTTGCGCTTTTACGAAACCGCCCCTGTACGCAACATGACCTCTTCCACAAAAGCGTCGATTTAGGGTATTGGATAGCTCACGAGTCACATCGTCGACGTTGGCAGTGAAGATCCCAATAACGTATGATGTTTCACCACACGACTCCCATCCTCCCACTCCACGTTCCAACTCATGACGTGACTCTGCCGAAATGCATCGGCACAGTTATGAAACGTTCACGTCAAGAACCACCTCCCACACCCGCCCCTGACTGGAATAACACTGTTCGGTTTCTGCCACTCCAGATGTCCTTCAGGAAAAAGTACAACAGCCGGAATCAGCGACAGCGAAGCACTTCTTTCAACAACAGCACAGAAACACGCATGATCGCCCAGGAAGCAGCGGTGGTAGTCATCCAAGCTCGCGTTCGCGGAGTCCTCCACAGCAAGAGGTGTGTGTGTGTGTGCAAGACGATTACGCTTCTAGTCTCAATCTCACAGACATCGTGTCGACACACCGGCCGGTCTCTCGTCAGTGAGTTTGTTCGACCCCGCGATTCTACCCGAACGGCGGTGTCAGGGCCGACGTCAAAATAACTTCGTATTTGCTTCAATGTCAACAATGCCGGATGGCCGGCATGAGCATTGCTGTACATACCATGAAATGCAACGTTGGTGTGGTACACCTGGCGACAAGTCTTGAACGTTCGGTGGCGTCCCCCGCCCCTTCCGTCCCCGGTGCTTGGATTCTACGCGTAGATCGTTTCGCCGCAAAGAGGTCCTAGCCTGGCAAACATACCAAGTCCAAGGAATCAGGCGCAAGCTCACTGCCGGCACGTACATATTCTTGGCAACCTACACGGTCGTGGTGGTTTATATCAACCTTTGCTACGTGATGACGTACGACATCCGTACGGCCTGGTGAGTGCGATGATGCCTCGACTCTTGGCTTAATTAGATACGTGACACCTGTCGGGGACGTTCTGGGGTCTCCTAGATTCGAGGTTCATCAGTGTGAGATTTAAAGGATTCGACATTAGAAACAACAAAAAATGACCACAATTTCGTATAATAGTTTCGCGCCGTCAATATATCACGACATAATATGCACATGTTCTGGAATTCGTATTCTGATAGGGAGGCCATCAATTGGGCCGTAGACATGTGTTGTGCCGACCGCGGGACATATTTTAATCACCCGAGGATCCACAAGGAATGGAGGTTGTGGAACATGTGTGGTCCCGTCACGGATGCCCTAGAATGTGCTTGTGGGCATGCCGTTGAGTATCCACCTAACGTTCCTGGACAGGCAAAAATCAAAAGAGTCCGTGCCTGCAGGATGTCCACGGACAAGCCATCATTGGCAGAAATATTGTCCATGAGCCACAGAGTTGTGGCCGTGTTTTCTTGCTCGGATGCTAACGTTCTCTACCGCTCGCATGCCCTTCTGTCTTGCATGTGTTGGGGGATTGACTACCGTCTACAGGGCCCGATAGTGCCCGAAACGCGCGTGGCACTCGTCCCAGAGCATCTTTCTAAGGCCCCAACTGAAACCCAATGGACCAAGGCATGCACACAAACGCAAGGGACATAGTGTCAATGCACACTCCCGTATGGTGTGGCAAAATACGTAGGCAGCCTCGCTCTTCGACTCGACAATAATCGCCTTATCGCTTGCTTTCTTTCTCACGCAGGCGCTGGGCTGCCGCGAGCTTCCTGACGGTGTTCATTGACGTGCTTTTTCGGAAACCGCTTTCCGTTCTGGCGGCGTCCACTTTGCACACGATCCGTCGTTTGCTTAGTGCTCCGCACGGAGATTTCATTGACAAGAGAAGTTTATGACGTAGGAACCGTAGGTCTCCGCATATGCCCCGTAATCGGTTGGTGTGCTGTCGTGTTGCCGGCTTCGTGGACGTGTGGCAACATCGCATCTGTTGGACTTCGGTTCCTGGCCAATATGGAGGGTACAGCAACGACGGGGGCAACGAGACTGGCGTTATTGCTGGATATTTTGCTGTCGACTACTTAAACAGCTTTGAGAGGGCCGTACTGAGCTTTATGGGTGATAGAACGATTTACGACTCACGGTTCATGCTTCAGGGAATCAAGCTTGGCGGGAGGAAGTCAACAGTGCTGTTGAGCCCTGTTTCCTGCGCCAGTCCGACCGACGGTCTTACTCCAAACCGAACACGTGAAAGCGACTATGTACTGCCTGCTCAGTTTTTTGTCCTCAGGACGTTTCGTGCGCAAGTAACTGTAGAATGATGCGCCCCACGTGCAAGGTGTCTAACAACTAACTACGGAGGTGTCATTCCCGAACTCTTCACCAACCACATCTATCTGTCCTCGTCGATGTCACCAGCGCCAAACCCCGAACAAGTAAAAGCGCCAACCAAGCGATCAAAACACCTGGGTCCGCCCTCGGAGTGCGAGCTCAACCGTCCACAGATCTACGGTACCCCCTTACCGCTACGTTATCGACGTATTGCGGTCTTGGCAAAGGTACCAATCGGGTGGTCGTAGCCACTGCCGACCTTTCTGACCTACAAAGGAATTGTTGTGATGAGTCATCCTTTCTTCTCCTCGAGGCTTACAACACCAACAGGACAGAGACCGTTAACATATAGCTGCGAACTCGCGACGTCGTGAAACAGACGGCTTGGGATCGGCCAAATCCACCACACACAGCCAATTGGTTGGGGTTTCAGAAGTGCCGGCGAAAGGGAGGATGGTAGTGGTATGGGGGGAATGTTTGTAGTTGTAACGAAGGAGGAGGAAAGGGGCGAAAAGACAGGGATGGGGAAACGATGGAGTAGGAAGGGATGGATGGTCCTAGAAACAAGAGTTGTGAGCCTGGTGATGTTCCGCACAAGAAACGTCGGAGGAGGCGGACAAAAGTAGAGAGCTGTCCAACGGTATTATGTGTGTTCTCAACGACCGACGAGAGCACAGAACGGCTGTATCCTCGTCACTATAAAAAGTGAGGCAGGTACCGCAGAAAGGTAGAGAAAAACTCCTCCTGTAGCATTTCCTCCTCGTGTGACACCGGTTGGGACTGACGTTGGTTGGCGGGACAAGACATGTCCAGCGTGAGACGGCAATAGAAAAATAAAAAATGCTGCTGCTCTTGGCTGAACCAGGACTCCGAAAAATCCCCACAGGTACGAACAGACTCCTTTATGTGTGGTCGAAGAATGGACTGCGTTATGTACATGCGTTGTGTTGTACAACTTGGTGTGTTGTCAGGACGGTTAGAAAAATCAAAGGGGGCACCGTAGGTAAGAGAGAATTAATAGGTAGGCATGTGTAACGGAAATAAAAGAAAAAGAAAGAGATGCACCTTGCTCACAACAGAAGAAACATGTGAACGAAAGAGCAAGACAAACAAGCAAACAAGAGGAGGAGTGGAAGAGAGGCAGAGGAGGAAGAAGAAGGAAGCGAGTGTACGGAAGGGAGGAGACAGACAGAGAAAGAGAAAGAGAGCATCGTCGGTTCGTTTTTGTTTCAACGTCGGCCGACCCGGCGCTTGAGCGCGGGGGCCGGGATCCTGCTGCCGAGCGCGGGCTCCCATGCCGAATACGGTAAGGCTTGGAACGTTGACACCGATGCGGCGCCGCAACGAGGAGGAGGAAGAGCAAGGCGGATGGCGGGGCCAAGGAAGGGGAGAGGACGGGGGCTCGCCGCAGAGGGGCGGAGGTGAGAGGAGGAGGTCGTTGAACCAGGGTGAGCGACGGGTGACCAGTGTAGAAGGCATGGGGACTTTGAGGATTGAGTCACGCCTATCGCCGTCCGTGTATTCAGGGGGGAGAGCGCGCCACTCAAGACCTAGGCAGACGCGTTCCAATTCCCCAATGGTAGCTAGGTGCGACCAGTCTACTTACGTCAGTCGCCGGGGTCCGTCACGTACGCAGCATGTCCCGTCCTCACAAGGCCACCGCAACGATTCCCGCTCGCACGGCGGGAGTTCGTATGGTAGGGGGGCGGGGGGGAGGGGGGGGGATGGACACGTGGGGGGCGCCGGGATCGGCGCGGACGGACCAGCGCACTATGGGCCGCAAGGGGAAGAGATGGGAGCAGCGGGGGGAGGGCGCAGTAGGTCAGGTGGGGAGGTCGGGCAGCCGCAGCACTATCATCAACCAGAACAGCAGCAGCAGCACCTGCAGCACCAGCAACAGCAGCAGCACCAGCCGCAGCACCAGCAGCACCAGCAGCAGTGGCAGCAACAACAGCAGATGCCACAGCAGCAGCAACAGCACCAGCAGAGACCGCAATACCAGGGACAACAGCAGCAGCCGCAGCAGCAGCAACTGGAGACGCCGCCGCCCCCCCCACCACGGCGGCAGGCGCAAGGGGC